AGTCTGTGTCCAATATTGTGTATTTGTATATATATATTATATATATATATATCCTAAATATATGCTAAGGTCCCGCTACGGACACGATAGCAGTCACTTCGTGCGCATGTGTGTAATTAAACCCATGATATCAAAATCTCACTCCAGCCAGGTACCCAAAGTTAGCAACCCTGTCCATACCCCAATAATATTTTATTGCAGATCAACATGAATCACACAAACGACCTATTTTGGATTCAAAGCGGCAAATTTCCCCAAAAGATGACAAGTTTGCATCCCTGCTTGTTATCGTTTTCATCACGGAGCTAGAAATATGGTGTATTGATTACTGTGCATGTCCAATTTGTTAACTGACTTTAGTTCTAATGTTAATGTTAATTTGATTTCAACCCATAAGTAATTATTTAAATTAACTCAACATTCCACATGATGGATTAGTGTTCCACATTTTTCCCACTAATTTGTTTATGATTAGGCCAATGGTAAAGAGAGACATTGATGACCCTGTGTCTTTTTTGTTAGCACGTGGTTCCATTTTGTCTAATGGCGTTGGACAGCTTCACTAAGAGTCACCCAGTTCTACCCTGCTACAGTCCGGCTGAGTGCAGTCACAGAGATGCTATGGCTGCTCTACATGACATTAATGGTTTGGTCCGAGAATGGACACCATTTCCTGCTCCCAGAGAGAATGACGCTCCTCACACTGAACATTACAGCCTTCATACTGTCTCACGTGGGTCTGCTCCCCCCCCACCGAGCCATGAACTGGAAGCTTGACGTCTGCTCTGAACACTTGGAACTGTCACACCAGCACCAACCCTTGGGTCAGTTAGATGAGACTAACGGCTTCACTTAGGGCATATGGGTCAGAAATATGACTCTCGTTACCATGGAGTGGGTTGTTTGTTTTTTTAAGGCTATTCATACTGCTATGCAGAGTGAAGAGCCCCTACTATTTTTACAAATAGGCCTAATGTCAGGGGCCTCTTACTGTCTACTTCTGCATGTATTCACATTATATGGACCATGTTTCCACCTGTTGAAACTAGGGCTGCACGGAACTCAGGCTACAATACAACCATTTTGTTCTGCTCTAACGATTCAATTTATAGATTCTACATCAAAATAGTTCGTTTTTATTGTTTCCAATGATAACGTCACCTTAAGTGGAGGAATGCAAACCTGTTTTAAAATGTAAGGTTTTGAATTTCTTTGACATTTCTCAGTAATGACACCCTCAGACACCCACTATCATTTATGCCAGTGGTTCCCAAACTTTGTTGTGCCCAAGGCACACCAAAGGACAAGTAAAAAATCTCAAGGCACACCTATTGTGAAAAAATAGCCCTTATAACACGTGTTATCACTCATATCATGTAAAGTATTTGTCAATGTGCATAATTATTTACTAATGCCAAATAAGATGTGACAAAGACAACTATATTACGAAATATTTCCCAAATTAATTTGAAACTTTATCAAATTAGGCTTCATCAAACCAGCAACACACTCATTTACACCAGACAGGTCACAAAATAGAAAATGAGGCAAAGGAAACTCAGCAGAAATTCAGCACAGACAACTGTCAATGCAAGGAAGCTGCATTGTCCATGGTCCGGAACTACAAATTATAAATGTATTACTTTAAAAAATGTAATATATTACACTACTTCGTTACTATCTACATAAAGTAACTCGTTACTTTACTCGTTACTTTCCTCGCCGAGCACGTACAAACTGCGCAAGCGTGAGTGGCAATAACTTTCCTTACCAGCAGGCGGCGGTAGTCAAGCCCCCAGGAAGTGCGCCGGACTCAGATGAAAATATTCGTGCTGGCCAAACGGCGCTACTACACTTCCGTTTGGTTGCCAGGCCCGGAAACACTTTTCCCATTGACTTACATGGGGAAAGAGTGGTCTGTAACTCGTTGGATAATTTTTTTAACTAAATAAACTACCCAGTATGAACACTTGTATAGCCCTTATTAAAAACATTCGTTCCTCAAGTTGTAAAACATTTGCTAATAACGTTATTCTGAGAGTTATTTCCCTCTGCATTATGAACGCGCATCTAATCCACGGGACCGCGCAGCCCGGCACGTTCATGTTACGTGTCCCGACCAATCAGAGCACACTGTGCTCACAGGGAGGGTGGGGCTGGAGCTATTGGAGCTACAACGAGCCGTTAAAGGCAGAGTGAAATTCAGTGAATACACGTAGTTTACAGAGATGCTGTATGAGGAACCAATGTGAGTTGCGTTTATCTTTACCCATGGATGCACAATGGGAACGGACCCATATCGTCTTACTGCCATCCCACGGAGCTGTAATAATGGATATATTGCACATGTTTGCTGTAATTCATTGTCATACTACATGGGCTGTATGATTAAATCTTGTACGGTAAATGTTGTATTAAATAGAGTTAATATTACCGACATTATTAACGTCCCTGTAGCTTCGTATTGCACTGGGAAGCTTATTGCACTGTATATAAATATATATGTATACAGTGCAGTAATAATTTCATGCTAAATGAGGCCCTGTTGGATATCACTAGATCATTACTAGCTAGCCGCTAGCTGCTAACTGCCGCCTCGTTCATATCAAATCCATGATAACAACAACCCATTACCATGCTGTCATGAACGCGCGGTGCTGTTACGTGTACGCAAATTGACGTACTTGATGTGAACGAGCATTTTGGTTAAAGTTGCGCATGCTCTATGAGTGCACGTACGGGTACTTCTCAGGCATGCTGGGTAATCTGTAACGTTTCACTCTCTCAAAAGTTGGGCCATTTTATCATCATGCGCTAATGAGCAGCTATCATAGGAATGAATGAGGCCCCGCCTCCAGTTCTTATTATACATCCATGGCGGTAGTGTGTATTTGTCATTCAATACAGGCAACAACCGGAAAACAGAGAAGAAGAGAGAGGGATGAGAAAGATGGGGAAGTGAGTAAAGAGGGATAGGAAGGAGGAGAGATATTTGCGAGTTGCATACTCACTCTGAGTTTTCTCGATTAATAGCTTATATAGACAATACCATGCTTAAATAGACTCCTAAGTTATTATTTCATATGTGACAATATGTAAGAAAAGAGAGGGAAGAGTCAAATTAAATTGAGCAATTGATTTCATATTGGAACATTCATTTCTCAAACCTATGTTTTATGGAAGAGGAAATGTACTTCTGATAAACTAATCCTTGATCAAACGGTAAATGGTGAATTAATATAACATTTATAATCATTGAGAAAGGGTTATTCCACAGGGACTAGCTCACATTTAACTTAAAATAACATTTCTCTGCTTTGGACTGATGAGTATATGATTCTTGCATGTTAAATGACTAACACAAACCTTACATTTATAATGTGCATGTGTTAGGGAGGCTCCCAAATCATTCTGAGGGGGCCTATCCTAATTTTGTAATTGAATGATAATGTGCTAATCCATTACCTTGAGTTGTCTGCATTCAGGAAAACATCCCTATCAAGTGTTAAACAGCTCTGAAGGCGAAGGGTCAGAGAGAGAAGCACACTCTGCGGCTGCAGAGAGCAACTTATCCACGGGCAAGGAGGTCGTTCGAGATGAGAGGATTCTAATCTTCAACTTTCTGATGAGATGGGATGCTTCTTCATCTTTCTGCTCGGTGGGCTCAGGCAGACAACTCTGCAGGACGAGTGATGGCTTCAGAGGCTTCATACAAGGTTCCATGTTTCTTGGAGGAGCAGATGTTTTCATAACCTCTCCCATCACGGGGGGGGCATCTGGATGTGCCACTTGGAATAGGCAGGTGCACTGCTCTCAAGCAGATAGCAGAAGGAATATAGGCAGATGAGCCTCTGTTTCACTGGGAGATCATAAAGTGCTCACTGAATTGAGCCACAAAAAGCAGAGCAATTGGGGGGGATTGAGATATGGCGCTCTGATGAAGAAGAGTTTTGAGCCAATCAGCACCTCAGTGCTAATCTACAGTATCAGGATGCCTTTACACACCAGACATTCTGTGTCATAAAGAGAGGAGGAAAACATGTTCTTCTAGCTCTGATACAAAGATAACATTTGAATTGAATGACCAGATGATTACAGATGTACAATTAATGATTGTTTTTGTATTCCCAATGAACATATGTGTTAAATAGTGGTGATAAATATATTTTGTCAGATCAGATTACACTTTCACACTAAACTAATTAATTAATTGATATTTTCAGATTTATAAGGTATTGAACAATAAGATATTTCTAATATTATAACAGACAATGTTACTATCCTTAATCATTACCAAACAGATGTTTTGATATTGATTACAGTTGATGCTCTGAATAAAGAACAGATGTCTTGATATTGATTACAGTTGATGCTCTGAATAAAGAACATGTTTTGATTTTTTCCTTTTCAGGTTGTTATACAATAAAAATGTTTGATTCTTCAGATTGTTAAACATTTTGAGAATTGTTTAGTTTTCCCTTCAGATTTTGAGATGACATAATGATTGATAGTTGAAGTAATGTAATTAATTAAATATCATGCCTTACTCTTGAATAAAGCGTAATGAAGTAAACGTAAAGTAATGTTAAAGATTGAGGACACTGTAACTTTACAGATTACAGATTGATCGATTCATCACTGTGAATGTATACCTTAACTGGGAACCTTAGCTGGATCTCTCATGATTCTGATTTTATACCTCAATTGGATTTCTTATAATCCTAAATTCTAATTGTGTTTTAATAAGTAATTGCCTTGAAGTAAATCTTTGAGATGTAAGCTGATTTAGAATTTGTGTTTGATGAAGGAGATTAACTGAGGGATAAATGATAAAAGATCTTATTTTTGAAACATATATTTTGCTATAATATTGTTGTATTTCACGTGTTTATTATTGTGCTTTTTGACAAATTATGCCAAACACTGAAGAGAGATGATTTTTATTATGATTGACTGTATTCAATCATGGTGATTGAAGTGTTTTCAATCTTGTTCTACTTTTGATGTAATTAATGTGAGTGAGCCCACACAACTCTGAAGACGCTTATTGACTTAAGTATTGACTGAAATATTCTTTAGACTAATGTTAATTGATTATCATAGATCATAGATATCATTGATAAAAGGGTGGATCTGTAAAGGAATATTTTAGTCTTGTTAAAGTATATAGAGTTTAGTGACTTGTCCTCAGGAATCTGTTTAATGGTTAAAGTGTATTCCTGCCTGTAATGTGATCCATAGCTTCTCAGGAAGACACAGGTCAAGAGGTCATCTGATGTCTTGTCGGGGGAGAAGCTTGGCTCATGTGGGTTTGCAATACAACGAGTCTTTGTCTCGACATCTGGCATGCATTAAAGGAAAACCCGCGTGTTTTAGGGCCCTCCTCTTCTTACATATAGATGGGTTCTTGGCGCTTTTGTCTTGAGAGTTGGCTGGTATCTTACAGGAGAACTGTATTATACTGTGATTCTCTCCGGCCGTCTGTCTCTCAATAAATATCAGTGTATTGACAGGCGAATCCAGTTTCCCTCATTTGATGATTGGCTCAACATTGCTGCAAAGAAGTTTTTACTTCACAATCAGTAAAAATGAATATCTATGTCAGAAAAAATGAAAATCTACATCTATATCTATATAAAAAATGTAAATGTTCAAGTTAAACACAAGAACATGACACCACCCCGCCCCAAACCATATTTACACAAAGTTGCTCATGAAAGTTTAAATGAGCTAAAAGCCCTGAAAGAGGACTGTTTTGCAGAGCTTCTTTCTCGTGCTCCCTTTCTGCAGGTCAACAGAGGTGAGTTTGGCAATGTGGTGTAGTCTTAATTTCAGAAACACAGACACAACCAATGACAACAAGTTGGAATAATGGTTGTCGATACCAAACTGCGTCTCCTCAATGTGTTCCCCAAGCTGAAAAACATCCTCCGTTCCAATCTCCTCCCGGACGATGTAGGTGACTGTCGACACCTTTGGAGCTTGCCTTGTTGAAGCTTGGCGAATCACCCTCTCTGCAGCTCTCAGCACCTTCACTGTGCCTTGTGATGGAATCACTAGGCCACCGTTGTTTTTCAGGGCTAGAAGGTGGTAGCTCTCATCAAATGATGAAGGTACAGCATCTCTGACCAAGCTTGCACGGCACACATCACAGGACAGCTTTCGCAGAATCTGCCGGACTACAAATCCTGCGATGTAGACCAGCGCATTTTCCACCAGACCACCAAACCGAGTGGGAAGATAGCTGTGGTCACTCACAACAGCCGAAATGTTGGCGAATGGAGATGGGTGCTCTTCAGCAGTTTCAGCAGAGGACATTTCTACCGCAGACAGGGACACAGTGTGATCTTGGGCTGCCACATTGCCTGTCTCACTATGAAACACCGAACCATCAGACGGCAGAAGATGGCCTGGAACTGGCATGCAGATGGATTGTTATTCCAGCCACCTTGTATGGAAAACAGGCACACAATACATACATTACTCATAAGTCATTTTCAGAATGGATTGCAATTAAAAGAACATCAACCCTACCTGACGCTCTGATGGAATTAAATAGGAGCTCCAAGTGATCCTGGCTGAACCTGTAGGTGAGGACATACCGCTGAACTTGGAGCAGTTCAGGAATCATCAGCATCAACGTGTCGATGTTAATGACAAATCCGATGACTGACAAGTACCTGCAAAAGAAAAACATTTTATTACTCTGATCATGGCAAAACATATACAGTATACTTGTAGGACACTTAGCTAACTAGGAACAATGTAATTGCAGAACTGGGATAACTTGAGAACAAGAACACATGCAATACATACCATTTTGACACCTACATGTGCTTGATGGTGTGTAATACGTACCATTAGAAGCATCTGGGACCTCAAAAACACTGAATACAAGATAATTCAAATAGAAACAAAACTGCAGATTGAAAAACATTGAAACAAGAGAACATCATTTCAACATACATACCCTCCTTCTGACACCTGCAAAACTTGATGTTGTGTAATACATACTATTTAGAAGCATCTGGGACCTCAAAAACACTGAATACAAGATCATTCAAATAGAAACAAAACTGCAGATTGAAAAACATTGAAATAAAAGAGCATCATGTTAGCAGACCAAACTAAAGGAAAACACATTGTAACAGTAGCATCATATGAACCTGATGTAGAGAACAGAGCATCTTATGAACTCGATGCATAACGGAACAGAGTATCGTTGAACTCATGTCGTGAACTTTTCATGCATGAATAACAAGCACTATTTGAATAGACCTCTTAGATCGGTGAAGTGGTGTTCCATCTTTTGTCACCAAAGTGAGCAAGTACTCCCTGGCTCTTGACAAAAATGCTTTCCTCTCTATCCAATTCAAAGCACCCAAGGGAGATTTGAATCCTTTGGCACGAGGATTGCGTCCATTCATTGTGTCAAACAGCCTGTCAATAATCTATAAAGAAATATCGGCATCTAAATCACTATCATTACAGTGTTTCATTAGGTATCAGATAGTTGTAATCAATACTCATCTATTCAAGATATAAAGAGAACAGAGTACTTATTTCTAAACTGTATGTTCAACATGCAAACTTAGTATTTGCTTGACTTCCTTCTCTCCATAGGCCTGCTTTGTGCTACAGCACACAGAGCTTTACCACTCTAAAATGTGTGAAGGTATGTGTAAGGTTATATACAAACTTTTGTATTTATGAATATGCAATATCACGGTTCATGAAAATATTTGCATGTTGAACTTAGAGAATTATCAACAAATTGTTCCTGATGCTCAAATCACATTTTGATCAATTATTTAAAATCAACACGTACTTGGTTCTATAATCACTAACTGTTTACCTCAATGAATTCTGCCGTTGCCTCACAGTCTTTAGAGCAACTGACACGGAGCGACTCAGTGTTTGTGCAGCCAGGGACACCCTCCTCTTGTGGTTCTCAAAGTAGACATGTTTGTCTGTGATTTTATTGGCAGCATGCAGTCCGTCTTTTTTTTGCACATCATTGAGATGATTGATGAACCTCCACTTGATCTGTCCGGTGGTCGTTGCAATTGGACTGTTTGCCTGCAGAGAAACATTCAGTCACTGCTCAAACAAGTACAAACAGCAACATGTTGATCATCACGTCCAGCCATAACTGTGCAAATGAACAGACAACAATATTTAGATACAACTTTTAGCAGCAGAGACAAAACTTGTACAAATAGGTCTACAACAATCATCATTTACCTGCAACATATTACGTGCCAACTTCAGCCTGTGGCATGCATCCATCATTACAAATACTTTGTCACCAGTCGAGGGATGCGGGAAACTGGTTTGAAGTGGCTCCTGTGGGTTTCCCTTCAGCTCACACCCAAGTTGGTTGCACATGCTGACATTGGAGGCATGCCCATCCATCGTGACAGATACCACCCGAATGCCCCGTGCATGCAGCTCCTCCAAAGCATGACTGAGAAGGACCCTTTGTGTTTCAGGTGACAGAGACTTCGTCAGGTAATATGCAATGGGAGCCTTCCAATGTCCTTGTAGGCCAACCACCATGAACACAAGAGCCTCAGTAGCAACATCGGTCTCATTGTTTCCATCACCCAGCCTACAAAACCAGACATCGACTGGTTATGTGGATTATATTGTTTTCTGATGGCCATGGCATCCAACATGAGTGCAACACATCCATATTTAGCCTGGTCTTCCTGGCATCTTCTCTCCAGCATATCCAGCATCATCTTGTTCAGGCCAGGCTTGCCATCCACCGAACACAGCCACCTGTAAAAAAATTGAGAAGTAGCTATTTAACGTATTTGCAACCGTAATTTCCAAAAATGAAATTGAACAACATTAAGACTACCTTTGTAATGTATGTGGATGAGGGAGGGGAAGATTTGTAGTCTCTCTGAGGTATTTGTATGTCTTTGGACCATGTAGATGGAGTGTGAGGGCAAACTCTCTGTGGTCCTTTGAGTACTCATGGCCCTGCTTTGCCTTGAAGTCTATTTGAAGATCTGAAATTGTATGAGAAAAAATTAATAAGGCCCCTTCATATAATAACAAAGGAGTTTAATAAAGAGTGTAAGAGTAAGATGTACATGAATTTCAAAGTGCTAATTTCATCTTACCTGAGTAGAAATCAAGCCTCTCTTTGAGTTCTTCATTAATGAGGTTCTTTTCCCTCAAATCCCCCAAAAGACTCCTCACTGTGGTCTTTGCCCTCTTTTCTCTAGCCATGGCATTCTTCCTCTCTCGCTCAAGACTCTCCACTCTTGCTAAAGCTTCATTGAGTCTGGCCTTAAGAGCAGTAGGAGAAGCAGGCAAGACATAGCTATGATCCTAGTAGAAAGAGGGATGAACATGGTTTGAGTGATGTTTCACTTCACACACACATCACTTTGACACAACTAGAGTATGGCCCACATTCTTTCTTATAGTCATCACCTGTCAAAGCCACTGCCAGCATAATGCGTGTGTGTGTGTGTGTGTGTGTGTGTGTGTGTGTGTGTGTGTGTGTGTGTGTGTGTGTGTGTGTGTGTGCCAGGAATGCATGTTCAACATGTCTTCAATTGTGTGTGTATGGGTTTATTTGTGAGTGTGTTTAATATGAGTGGCAGCAAACAAGAGAGATTTTACTTTGTCTAGGACCCTTATGATATGATGTTGAAAATAGAAATACTCACATCATTAGGCTGAGGTTGTGAGTGTGAGGTTGAAGCTTCTGGGTCGTCCTGAGGGGCCACAGACAGGCTCTCTTCAGCTTTTCTGGAAGGAGACGTAGTCCTGCCCTTTTCCGGCTAAAATGAAGAAGCATAATACTTGAAAAGAATATATATATATATATACACACACAGAGATAGGTATTTCACCCTGCCCTGTTATTGATAATAGAATATTTACATGTATGAATGCTAATAGCCTTATGATGATACACCTACTCTTTGGAGGTGAACCGGGAAGCTGAAGATGGAGGGAATAACACCATCTCTGAGTCGGACAATCTGTCCTGTCCTGTCAAACTCGTCCTGCTTAAAATGCTCACTGCAAATCACAGATGACTCGCTTGCAGTGAACCCTTCCCTCCTCAAAGCAACTTCCCACTTCTTCCTCATATCTTTGTCTTTGGGAAACCTTCAAAATAAAAACGGGAGATTTGAGAGAGTCAACACAAAACATTTTTAAGAAGGAGGTCAAGCTTATTTTCTTCCTTCTTCTTCCTAGATAGATTAGATTAGATTTTACTTTATTCATCCCACAACGGGGAAATTCACTTGTTACAGCAGCATATGATTTATAAAGTCTCAGTTGGCCATAAACATAATGTTTGCTGGCTACGATTTCGCTGGCGGACATCAATACAGTACAATAATATTCTATTTACAAAATACAACCAATAATAATGTTGAATCTTACTTGTGAAAAGTAATCCCCCGACCCCTGTTCGTAATCGTTCGCCGATTTGCACAGCAATACGCCGCACAGTGCTCTGGCATCTTGAAACCTCTGCTGTCTATGGGTAGAATGTCTGTACAATATGGGTAGGATGACCGGTCCAAGATGGCGGCCGTATTTCTTGCGCCCCAGCAGCCAATGCGGCATCTACTGTTTATATGTCTATGGTCCCGACCCCCCGGGGGGGCGCCAGGGGGCGCCAGGGGGGTCATGCAAAGTTTGAGGGAAAGGGGAATTAAATTTTTTAAGTTACATTTTTTGGGGGGATTTTATTAATAACTGCATATCTATCAATCTATGTGTCCTTTGATGCCAATCTTTTAATATGTTTTACTTATTCATATATATATATAATATATATATTTTTTAAATCACACGACAGCCCTTCAAGCCAATCAGAATCGAGCTACTGAGAGTGAAACTGAGTATCTGCTCAGCTTTTGGAGCAAGTGAGAGCTAGTGAATATTTCGCTCTGCAGCTGGATGAGAGCACGGATGTAGCAAATATTGATGTTTATATATATGAATATAAATATGTTTATTGTTAATATTACTGTTGAATATTATATATAATATTATTAAGGCATAAGTAGCTTTCAAAAATGCAAAAAATATATGTTAATTCTTCATATTACTGTTCAAAATTATATAATATTATAAAGACAGAAATCACTTTAAAAATGCTTTTAAAATATGTTTACTGTTGATATTACTGTTTAATATTGTGTTAAGAATGTTCATAACAGAAGACACAATGAATGTAATAAATGACAAACAAAAGATAAATACAAAACATTTTAGAAGAATAACTGATTATTAATTATTAATACAAATATATATTAAGAAAATGTATTAAGCTGTATGATTAATTTGTCATATTATCCATCATAATGTACTGATCATTTAAAAAAAAAATTGCAACAGGGGTAGACGATAATGCTATATGGGGGTCCTTGGCATGGCAACGTTTGGGAACCCCTGCTCTAAAGTACCGCATTCTCTTCTCCTAAATCCTTTTGAATTCTCCTATCCACTATCCCTTAACCCCGTGACGTTTCACTCAGAGGTCAAGGAATAGGAGATAGGGTTAGAATTTAGGAGCTGATTTTTGGATTATCGGAACGCAACCCCGCAGTCTCTTCTCCTAAGTCCTTTTGAATTCTCCTATCCACTATCCCTTAACCCCGTGACGTTTCACTCAGAGGTCAAGGAATAGACGATAGGTTAGAAGCGGATTTTTGGACTATTCGACTGCAGCCCCCTTCCAGCAACACAGCCGAACATTCCCTGAAGCAGCGCTGGAAACAACTGTGGAGGCCTACCCTCTATACAACATATACTGTATCATTCATTTAAGATTAATATTTGATTTATCCAATCTAATAATTGAAAATGTTTATTTGAATCATGTGAAAATATTATGCCAAGACACCTGTTAGCTCATTGGATCAGAGTATCTACAGTATCAACTGTGTTATTCAAAGATGATGTAAAATACAAACAAAAACTGTGTTTGGAATATAAAAGTTTGATATATAAAGCATATATAATAATGATTATAATAAAAAACATTATTATAATATGTAGGTATAATATGTTTTGATCTCATGCTTTCTGTCTTCACACATGTAGGTACACCCACAGGGCCCCATTCTGACGGCCATTTTGGCTGCACTATTTTTATGAAAAGATAAGAGTCTCTGGTACATATAAATTACATTTTTGGGTGATTGGACTCTTTAGTTTAAAAATGACAGAAAAGCATAAACATATATTTAGCATTTTCTATTTCCTATTCCATTTCCGCCTATGATTTATGTGTGTTTAAGTGTTAATATTACAAAGATGGTAAAAGGTATTGCTATAATCTTTGCTTTATTGTATACATTACCTCTCTGTGAACCTTTAGGCCAAATGTGGTGACATTCTGATAATTATTTCCAGAGATACATGGGATAAGGCCAACACAGTCCCCTTCAGAGGAGCCCACATTTTCGGTTATGGGAAAGTTCCAAACATTAACCAAAAATAATTATTTTGCGCTAAAATATTTGTATACAACCATCCGTTTAATAAACTAGACATATTAAAGTAATGAAAAAACATGGTTGTGCTTTGTTCTACCTCGGGTAGGGGTATCTCGATAACTAAAGCCTTTTTGGGGGGTTTGTTCCTCTACTATACCTTTAATGACTGTTTTTAAATGCCATTTTCTTAATGTCTTTCATTTTTGTAAAGCACTTTGAATTGCCTTGTTGAAACTTTAGGCATGCTAAACTTGCCTTGCTCATACTAATTGCATGCTAAAGCTATTTATTTAAAAAGAAATATTGTTACTGTATTGTTGTCTGCCTGGATGCGTGCTTTTGTATATTGTAATTTGAGTCATTTCCATTAATGTTTTGCTATTTTAGCTCATCCCCTCTGGGACTCATAAAGGTGTCCTCAGGATACACGGTCACTAATACTGCCGTTTTCCCGCCGACCTGCAGGAGGCAGCAGAGTCTCATCGGACAGACCTCTGCATCCGGAAACGCTTTCAAAGCTGCTGAGCATGTCTTTACCACACTGAAATGAATTATCTTCAACTACATACACAATAGAAACCTCACCAACATGTCGTCAAAAAGTCGGGATAACGACGATAACTGTGAGGGACAGTCTGCGGTGAAGGAGGAGCTGAACAGAAAGGTGACATGTAGCTGCTGGCTAATGTGAAGCTAAATATTAGCTGGTAAACATATGTCATCACAACTCAACAGAATATCTACGTTAATATATGTAAATTAACAGAATAATTGTTCTCTTTCCTACATGCTACATGTCTCTAAAGAATTTACCATGGTATACTGAGAAGTTAGAACTTTTATCAGGTCAGAAATAAATTCAAGTTTCTAACTTTCAGATCAAGGAGCAGAAGGTGGTCGTGGACGAGCTCTCCAATCTGAAGAAATACAGGGTAAATAGAATTGCATCTAAATACAGTTCTTGTATCTCTCAGAAAATCTGTATATTTAGGTACAATTTGTGTGTATTCCCTCCCCCAGAAAGTCTACATCCAGCAGAGGAACAGTAACATTTTTTTCCTAGCAGATCGAAGTCACACACTGGGGGCATGCAAACGTAAGTTAAAAGCCGTACATTTTGAAATATAATTTTAACAGATACACTCCCTAGATGTCTGTCACGTTGATTCTCAACTGAGGCTGCACAATAGTTTAATGGACATAACTGGTTATCAATTTTATCTACAGAGGAACTGGATGACATGAAAAAGGATCTGCAGGATATATAAGACTAACTACCACAATGTGCGGTATCTTCTGTCTGTTGAGTCTGTCCCCCACTCAGTTTGAGTGGGACAAGACAGTTTATGAACATTTAAAGAGAAGAGGGCCCAACTTGAGTCAGAATCTCACAGTTAGAAGCACAAAGCCCTGCTATCAGTGTGTATTCTCTGCCCACGTTCTTCACCTGAGAGGCCTTCTCACCCCGCAGCCAGTTGAAGACAGCAGAGGAAATGCCCTGGTATGGAACGGGGAGATTTTTGGAGGTGTCCCAGTGATGCCTGAGGAGAACGACACTGCTGTTGTCTCTCAGCGGCTCTCGTCCTGCAGCAGCTCTACAGAGATTCTGTCCTTTCTCTCCACTGTACGCGGACCGTGGGGCTTTATTTACTACCAGAAGGCTGGGGACTACCTCTGGTTCGGCCGAGACTTCCTTGGTAGGAGGAGTTTGCTGTGGAAGTTTGATGCAGAGGTCAAAGCCTTGACCCTGACTTCTGTAGCAGCCCACTGTGCTGGACCTGCTGCATCTGCGTGGCAGGAAGTCCCAGCAGCTGGTGTGTACCGGATTGACCTGAAGGCAGTCTCAGAGGCAGGCTGTGTAACATTTGAGGTTTATCCCTGGGCTTACGGAGAAAACTGTCCTTTCTATAGCTGTACTCAAGCTATATTAGAGTCTGTGCCGAGCGGCTGCACTGCTGTTATTAACCGGTCAGGCCTTGCATTGACCTCCCCTGTGTGCCCTCTCAATACATCCATCCCTGAGTCTTTAAACCAGGAAGAAATTCATCCAAACGCTCATCCCTGTGATCAAGATCTGGAGCAGCTGCCTGCAGGCAAAGAGAGAGGTGAGGCGGTGAACCGTCTCATTGATGTTCTCAGCGAGGCAGTTAGGCGTCGCGTTCAGGCTCTGCCATCACAGGACAATTCTGCTCCGTCTAATGACAATGCCAGAATTGCCATTCTGTTCTCTGGAGGTATAGATTCAATGATCCTGGCCGCCTTAGCTGACCGTCACATTCCTGCTTATCAACCAATAGACCTTCTCAACGTAGCGTTCAAACTACAGGTGCCAAAGAAGCAGAAAGAGTCTGCAAAGAAACCTGTGAAGCACAAAGATAAGCCCACAGAGTGTAAGACTGATGGCACAGAGTCCCTGACCTCCAGCCCTTTCGATGTTCCAGACAGAATAACAGGGAGAGCCGGTCTCAAGGAGTTACAGCAGCTAAACCCTGAAAGGAGGTGGAATTTTGTTGAAATCAATGTCACAAAAGAGGAGCTGCAGAAAACCCGTCAGGAGCGCATTAGTCATTTGGTGCATCCCCTGGACACGGTGCTGGACGACAGCATCGGCTGTGCTGTGTGGTTCGCTGCCCGAGGGGCAGGCTTCATCACGGGGGACGGGGACCAGAGGCCTTTCACATCCTCTGCAAAGGTGAAGTACAACAAACAACCCTTCCAGGACCAAATGGCCCCTGGGTTCTTTAACTACAGTTATTGTGATGGGGAAAAAAGTAGAGTGACAATTGCTAAAATAACAATACATAAATGTGCTTTTCTTAGTTTTATCAAAACTAAAATACATTAAAAGAGATGTTTACAATCAACAACAAACACATTGACCTGCTATTCTGTGCTGCAGGTCATTCTGACCGGCATCGGAGCAGACGAGCAGCTGGCAGGCTACTCCCGACACAGAGTCCGGTTTAAGACGTCTGGACACCAGGGACTGATCCAGGAACTGGCCATGGAGCTGGCCAGGATCCCTTCCAGGAATTTGGGCAGAGACGACAGAGTGATAGGGGACCATGGGAAGGAGGCCAGGTTAGTGAGCTTTTCACTTAATTATGTGTATATAAACATACAGCTCTGGAAAAAATAAATAGACCACTGCAAAATTCTCAGTTTCTCTGGTTTGACTATTTATAGAGATTTGAGTAAAATAAAAATAAATATTTGATTTTTTTTAAACTGCTGACTAAATGTCTGTGTTGGAATTCAACAGACACTGGAATGGAATGGCTGCAATACATGTAGATATTTAAGAAACATTTGCAGGGTTCATCTCTTTCAGAGCTGGATATGTCGATATTTTAATCTTTGGGACGGTGTTACATTTAGTTAATAATAATAATAATAGATTTAATTTGTTAGCGCTTTTACAGGTGCTCAAAGACGCTTTACAGATATAGTGAAGAGAAAAGGAAGGAACAACAAATAAATATATTTGGTTGTTAAAGTTAAAGTCAAATAATACAATTTGTACAATAATACAACCGTGTTTTGAAGGTGGTGAGGTCAGTGCAGTCTCTGATGGGTTGTGGGAGTGAGTTCCAGAGGGAGGGGGCAGCGACGGAGAAGGCTCTGTCCCCCCAGGTCCGGTGATTGATGTGGGTGGGGATGGATAGGAGGTTGGCTTCTGATGAGCGGAGGCAGCGGGAAGGGGTGTGGTGGTGCAGCAGGTATGTGAGGTAGGGGGGGCCTGATTGTTGAGGGCTTTGTGAGTAATGAGGAGGAATTTGAAGTTGATTTTTTGACGGACGGGGAGCCAGTGGAGGTTCTGGAGGACGGGAGTGATGTGGTCTCGGGAGCGGGTGTGGGTGAGGAGGCGGGCAGCAGAGTTCTGGATATGTTGGAGTTTATTGAGGAGGTTGGATGGTATGCCGTAGAGCAGGGGTGCCCACACTTTTTGGGCTGGTGAGCTACTTTTGAAATGACCAGCTCACCGAGGTCTACCAACCAAAAATAAAATCCCAAATTGCAAGGGTTGCTGAATAACACGTTTTATTTATACATGGGATAACTACAATAGGGCTGCAACCAACGACTCATTTGATAATCGATTAATCTATCGATTAATTAAACGACTAATCGACTATTCGGACTATTACTGTACGCCTTGCACAATTTCTCAAACGCTCTGATTTAGCCATCAACTTTTAGATTTAGCTTGAGGTTGTTTTAGGCATGTGGAAACTATCAATGAAGACAACAAAGATGAATACTTGATTCAAAAATACATATTATTAAATTAACTAAACAAATTGTGAACAAAACTAACATTGCTTTTTATTTAAATAAATAATATTTCACATCAAAAGAAACAACAATGTTTTAACAAATCGTATTAAATAACCTGATGACAGAACTGTAAACAGAATAGCTGAAACTTTAACTAAATAAATAACTCAGTTTCCTCTAATCATTAACCCATGTTTGTATCATGTAGTTAACTGCGTGTGTTGCTGCTAGCATACATAACACCTGACGTGGAAACGTTACTCGTGGATGGGGCTGCAGAGCTACTAGAAAGACAGTCGAGCCCGGTGCATTCCTCCGTCTGGATGTGGTGCACTTTTTCTAAATGTTTAGACAAATTGCTCGTGTTACCGCCCTCACATGCTGAACTCTCTTGGCAAGGAGCATTGTCCACCTCAAGACGGGTAACATTTAACCACACCTTGGAGCGCTTCTCTCCGCCATCTCCTCCGTGTGTTGCTGCATGGAGCAGCCGCGTGTGTGTAAACTGCCCCGCCCCCTCGCACACAGACGGGGGAGAGAGAGATCTCGTCTCGATTGGAAAGATAAAAAATACACCGACCATAGACGCATTTGTTTGTCTTTTTGCATGTTAGAAACGAGTTGGCGACACTAAGATTGCGAGATAATGTTTGTGTAGCAATAATACATTACCTTTCTCTTTCTCACCTCGCTACTCGGAGGGAAGTCGCTGTCATATGCCTTGTGAACACTCCGATAATGCCTCTCCACGTTACCTTTCTTTGGCAGAGCGACGCTTGCTTTACAAATAAGGCAAATAACCTTTGAATGTGACATCACAAAAAAATATTCTTCCTCCCATTCTGAGTGGAAGTAGTTTGTCTTTGGCTTTTAGCTCGGTCCCGCACTCATTTTGTTGTTTGTCTCTTTGAGTTTGAGTTTTCCCGGCACTTGACTGATTTTGTATCGCTTTGCATTCTGGGTTAACTGACTGGAAAGCGATAGGTCGCTTTTACTGTCAATCAATTAAACTCCTGAATTAAGTGGCAGGGAGGCCAAGGGAGGAGGGATCAAAACCTGTTTTGTCTATTTTAACGGAACTGGATTTTTTATTTTTTATGAATGACTCGCGGTCTACCAGCATTGCCCCCGCGGTCGACGTACTGGGCACCTCTGCCGTAGAGGATGCTATTGCAGTAGTCGGGTCGTGAAGTGATGAATGCATGAATCAGGGTTTCAGCAGCAGAGGAGGAGAGTGATGGGCGGAGATGGCAATGTTTTTGAGGTGGAAAAAGGCGTTCAACAAATATTTCTCTGTCTGTACCACACACTCAAGAGATATTGATGATAAAGGTGACTTTGACTTGGTGCGACTGTTGATATGCATGTCAGCAGAGCCTTAAGGCATGTCTTGAAGCTGCCTATTTTATCTGTCCAACAGTCACACTGTAAGATTTTTGCAAATATTTTGACTTCACCATTAAGGTTAATGTTTAAATCGTTTTTTTCTTATGGGATGCAAGCAGGACAAACCAAAGGGACACTCATAAAACAAAGTTTAGTGACTTTGGAACCAGAGGGTTGTCAGTCACGTGCCTAAACAGTCCCAGAATGGAGAGGTACTCTGAGAGAAGTAAATCTCCTCGGTACTGTAGAGGTTCCTCTGAGCAAGGCATTAGATTCCCACAGTGCTTCGCCGTTTATATAATCCTAATACTAGGATCGGTAAAATGCTGAGACCAAATGTCAGTGATGCAAAAAAAGAGAGAACTATTCGAAGCAGAAAAAAAACAGCGTAATATACCATCTGACAAAGGCCTGTGCTATACTGCTTCAATTAACTGGCTATTCTTTATTATATACTCAGATCAATAGGAGACAGAGATGTTAAGTTATAAATCAAGGGTTTTTATTATTATTTACAGGTAGATATTATCAAGTGTGTAACTTTGGTTTAAGAAGTGGGGGAGACACAAAACAGGGGGTCCTCCGCAATGAAACATATATATTATCATTATATATATAATGAGTGAGCAAACTTATCTAGTATCCTATCCATATGAACCTGTTTATTTGTGGGGGGACGTGCTTAAATTAAATTGAAGTGAAATGCATCAATCTGGTGCACTTTGAGGGCAACATTAAGAGATTTATGGATACAGCTCTCAACACTCATATACAACAGAACTGTATACTGCTTCAATTAACTGGCTATTCTTTATAATATACTCAGATCAAGGAGACAGAGATGTTAAGTTATAAATCAAGGGTTTTTATTATTATTTACAGGTAGATATTATCAAGTGTGTAACTTTGGTTTAAGAAGTGGGGGAGACACAAAACAGGGGGTCCTCCGCAATGAAACATATATATTATCATTATATATATAATGAGTGAGCAAACTTATCTAGTATCCTATCCATATGAACCTGTTTATTTGTGGGGGGACGTGCTTAAATTAAATTGAAGTGAAATGCATCAATCTGGTGCACTTTGAGGGCAACATTAAGAGATTTATGGATACAGCTCTCAACACTCATATACAACAGAACTGTATACTGCTTCAATTAACTGGCTATTCTTTATAATATACTCAGATCAAGGAGACAGAGATGTTAAGTTATAAATCAAGGGTTTTTATTATTATTTACAGGTAGATATTATACACTTTTGACTTTAAGGGCTTCAGTTTTTCTTCTTCTCCTTTGCTTGCGAAAGTGTTTCTACTGCTTTACGTCTGCTTTACTAACTGCTTTACTGCTTTACACAACCGACTGGTGCTGCTGCGGCGTCATGACGTCACCGGTGCTTATCAGGCTCTAGCTCCGAACCGGCCCTGGAACCGCATTGGGCACTTAGTACAGATCGCGTTCACACCGGAATCAGTTCCCTGAGGGAAGATTACGCAAATGAGCCGCTGACGTCACTTCGTCTTCTTCTGCTTTGGGTTTACTGGCAAACCACTTCACGGTGTATACTGCCGCCGGAAGTCCCCGTAGTTGGGGACTGGCCTTCCGAGTAAATCGCCAGAACGCCGACACCTCCTCATCTCCACCGCTCCCATGTTTTATTTTGTGTTGCCATAAGTTACGGCCCCTACACACGGCGGCGTGCGTTGCCGTTTCAACGCTTCTGCCCATTCACTTTGAATGGGGTGACGTCACGCCTCGCCGAACTGCATTGTGGGAGCAAAGCGTAGCTTTTCTCGCGGTGCTCGCTGCAAAAGTAGAGCAATGTTCTACTTTTGACGCTTCGACGGAGGCGTCAGCCAATCATATCCCGCATATGCAAATCTGCCAGTACAAGCGCTAGCCAATCAAAAATGTCAAAAAATGGAGAAGAAAATAATCGTGACGGTAGGGAATCACCCGGTGCTTTATGATCAGTCCCTCTTTACCCACCGGGATACAGACCGGAGGAGCCAGGCATGGAGGGAGGTGGCAGAGACAGTGGGTGAAACTGGTAGGTTTTCGCCTGTTTGGGGAGTTTATATCCAGTGTACTTCGTTTGAATGGACAACTAGCAGGCATAGACAGTATTTAGCCAGCATGGAATCTTGCGTAAAATAGCACCATAGACATAAATGTCATAAATGTTCATCATATAAAGTGACATGTAAAACCTTTTATGCAATTGACAGGAGAGATTCATGTGATTGGTTGTTGGTCGCGTAAACTCCCCAAGCTCAAGACACGCCCACTGCCAAGCGGCAACGCACGCCGCCGTGTGTAGGGGCCGTTACCCCTAGATTCCACCGGGTCCGTCTGCGGCGCGTTACGGCTGCGCCACGGTTTTGGTCCGGCCTCCTCCAGCGTCATAACCCACCGGGCGCGTTTCAGAAGCGGAGCGTCTTGCCTACCGGCTCGCAGTTTTTGTTGATTTGGGCGTATTTCCTGGACAGACTACTTTCTACAGACAAAGTTAATAATAATTGTAATATCCCAGTTATAAACGACATGAATCAAAGATGTGTTGCTGTATTTTAGTGGTAAAAAAAATGCATTCATCATCATAATTATTCTATATATATCATTTACACAGTGCCTGTAAACCGGAGGAGAACGCTGGCCTTTCTCCTCCTACTTGAAAGACTACGGAGGGATAGGGTCTGCAAAATTAGTTTGTATGTGTATATATATCAGAGGTCGCGTTAACCGAATATTTTCAGTCTATGACGGATTTTTTTCAACAATGACAGAAAAATCTGAAAGCAGTCCGTCATTTTGACGGATTAGAACAAACTCGGAACAGAGCCAAAGTTCCCCCGCAGCGAGGCTCCGGTGTTAAGCATGCCTGCCAAAAAAGGAAATGATACCATTTCCAAACCCAACTTTGCCGTACAAATCATTGAAATGTCTGTGAGTTTTGGCTTTACGCTGTGCGCACACCCGCGCGGTGCAGTGGGCATGCATAACACGGCGCTAACAGTTCACGAGCGTGGTCTGTGGTTTGTACTTTAACTTTTGTCCAGTTTCTGAACAGATATGAGGAGCTGTGATCTCTGTGTGCTAACTGCTAACAGCTAACGGCTGATGTTTTCTGGTTGAACGTCAGTAAAGGCAGGCTGAGATCCTCACCGCTGATTGGCTTCCGCGAGAACGCGTCACGTGAATTTGACGCTCGAGTTGAACTCTGGCGTTTGACGCGGCACCGTTCAATCGCGTGATTCGCGCCGCGTCTACCGCTTCATGCTCGCCGTCGGAGCGAATTCGCGTCTGTCCGCGTCTCTGCATTGACTATACATGTAATCGCGCCGCCCCCAAACATCGCATCGCGTCCGGTGTGAACGCAGCATAAGTCTCTCTGCGTTTGTGCGCTGGGCGAATGCTAATAATGCTAATGCGAGAATAATAAAATGGCGGCTCTACAAAACATTTCAGTTTTACGTGGCGTGGTTTGCAATTCGCCCTGCATATCAGAACTGGGGCACTTTTTCCCCCCAGGAAAGTACCATCTCTCAGCAGGCACTAAAAATGGGGGTAAAAGTTCCCGGCACTCGGTACTCTTTTTTGGTGTGAACGCGACATAAGGGGTACTAACGGAACTAAACGCGAAAAGTACGTTTAGTTCCGTTAGTGTGAAGAAATCCCATTTAGAGCCTAGTATCTGACCCCTGCCTCTCCCTGCAGATTTCCCTACTTGGATGAAGATGTGGTGAGCTACCTGAACTCTCTGCCTGTGTGGGAGAAGGCGGACCTCTCCCTCCCTCGAGGCGTCGGGGAGAAACTGCTGCTGAGACTGGCAGCCAGACAGCTGGGCCTCGGCCAATCAGCTGTCCTGCCCAAGAGAGCCATGCAGTTTGGATCCCGCATTGCAAAGATGGAGGACCACCGGGAGAGGGCCTCCGACAAATGCACAAGACTCCTCACTGAGTAGAAAAACTCAAGTAGTAAAGTGTAATGAAGAGACTTTAAAAATCAATTTTTAATAGAAAATATTAATTGGAAAATGACTGATTATCTGCTGGTCTTGGATCATTTTTGAACATGGCAAAAATAAATATGGTGCTTCAGTTCATCTCAGTTTCCTCTACACCATGTAAGACTCGACATCTTGAAGTGTTTCTCTGAAGTACAGGTCACATTCAATATAGGACGGCAAGTTTCCGACATCAAAACGCCCAGAAATCTCATGAATGTATACTGGCTTCCTATAAGAAACAAAACAGTCTCGTTTATTGAAAAATCCACAGACAAGGTGCCTGTAAAAAAAAAGTGTGTTAGCTTTAGCTGAGTAAATCCTACATGAATTAACTGTTCATACATGTAGAATGATCATAAAGAAACACCTTAATAAATCAAAGAAAGAAAAACAGCTGCTAGTCACTAAGCAGGAATACTATATTATGAGGAGTAAAACCTCGGGGTGGCAGCACACATTACCTGGGAATGAGCCAGGAGACAAAGTTTCCTGGGGCATCTTTCTCTTCAATGGGAGCCTCCTGTGGAAATACAAAATGGTAAAAACAAACCGCTTTATTCTTCATTCACGGCACACGTGTGAGACTTTCTATTATTTCATATACCTTCTTTTCTTCCAGGAAGTTCTCCAACAGAGGAAGGCTTTTCTTTGAAAACATATAGAAACAGGGACACTGAAAAACAAAAGGAGATTATTACCTCAAGTATAGATTTATACACTACACATGTTGAAAATGTTTAATTTCTGGTTTTTCTTCATTTTTCAAGGAATTTCATTACCCTGGGTATCCCGTAAAGATGTATTTATACATGTACTCATGTACTCGTCTTGCTGAAGGGGAAATAGTTTAAGACTAGCAAGTAAAGTGAATAAGAGCATCATTGGGGAAACCACCTACGTCTATAGAGAGGCGAAGTCCTTCCCCTTCTGGTGGACCTCCATGGGACCTTATTTCGGGAAAATTATGTATTGAAGTCAATGGAGAGAGAAAGATTATCTTTTGATCCCATTTGAATTGTGCCACGAATTACACATATGATGTTTGTCAATTTAAAAGATAATTTTGCAAGTAAAAAAAAAAGTGTTGTAAAACTGAAGTAACACTTTTGTTTTGTGTGAAACCACTCAATGAACTACATCTCCCATCTCGCAGCACACACCAAGACGGCCGTCACGTTGGAACATTTCACTTCTTTCTTTCAGAATGAGGCGGAAAGTATTAAAAGAGGTGAAAATCACTCCAAGTCTGGACATGTTGAGAGCTGTACATACACACAAGGGGAGTCAGTTGGTTCCGTGAGAGCCAGGACTCTGGGATTTGTGGTCTTTCTAGTTGCGTATTTTTCATAGTCTTATATTTCAACAGTTTTACGACAAACTGACTTTTTTGACATGGAAATTATCTTTTAAATTGACAAACATCATGTGTGTAATTCATGGCACAATTCAAACGGGATCGAAAGATAATCTTTCTCTCTCCATTGACTTCAATACATAATTTTTCCGAAATAAGGTCCCATGGACCGGAAGTAGATGGACGGGACTTCGCCTCTCTATGAGTCTGAATCAGTAGCCCACCACTGCAAAGGATGTGAAACCAAAGAACAAATATCATTTATTATCTTGCTAAATCAGGCTACTAAAAAAAGGTTAACAATAACATCTTATTCTTCTGATGTGGAACATTAATTGTTCAGGTGGCTCTACCCTTTTTTGAAAGACCTGAAGCCTCTGTTGGCTCCATCTGGCCCGCAGTAGTGTGTGTAATGAACTTACTGCTCTCCTCGACTGTGTCTCTGCAGAAAGAGGTTTCTCCTTCATACAGAGGACGTGAAGATCACTGTCTACTTCCAATATCCCGTATTTACTAGTTTCTGTACAGACACACAAACAGATAAGATAAATCCATGTTTGACATTTAATGAGGAGATAGCTTCCATAGGGCCAAAGTCTTATCTGACTCACCCTCCTCTTGGCACTGGTAGGACAGCAGCAGACAGCTGTCCTCACTCTCTGCCTGGAGCTCATTGAACCTCTCCTTTACTTTCTTCAGGCTGAAATCTTCTTTAAACAGCGTGTCTCTGTTATGATGCAAAGGGACTTGTGAGAATCTTGAATGTTGATTTGTGACAACACCTTTGCACGGTTTTGTTGATAATGTTATCTTACCCCCCAATAACTAAGACATGGTCCTCTATGTTGAAGTGCTTGACGGCCAGCTGCAGACAGGCCACAGCCCCGAGGCGGCCCTGTGGAAAGAGAGAGGCAGAGGATGCTGTAGAAGAGAGGCAGGGACAAAGCATGGCATTATTTCTAAAATGATATTTACTTCATTGCTTGTCGTCTGATCGCTGAGAATCTTGACATTTGTGAAATGTGATGCCCACTCTTCAAACGCAGCATGGTAAACAGCGTTGGTCTGTGGAGAGAAAGGGATGAGTGGCGAGGTCGTCCTCAGGTCGGCTTCAAACTGCATTATTAGGAACAGCATCCCCGATCCATGATGCAAACATTTCTATTGGCATCATGCCATATGTACTAAAGAGCAATACAGATAATACAAGAAAAAGCATTATGTAGAATGGCTGATTTGAGATTTTCCTCAAATATGTTTGAGTAGGTTGATGCTTACTAATGACTCATTTCAACTGCTATATATTTATATAGCCTACTCTTTGGTAGTTGCGTATTTTTTAACAACGCATCCTATTTCAAATGTGATGATGTTTGCTTCAATATATTAATATGCTAAGTTACTTGAAAGTACAACAGCTGATACTCAGGTCATCAGGTCTAAATAAATAATACAGACAATACGGATTATGAATACTCTGTAAATATAAGTCCTATATTCATACATGTACTTAAGAAAAAGTACAAACATATTAGCATTAACACATTAAAATAATACAAGGTACTCATTAAGCAAAATTAGACCTTAAATAGAAATGTATACATTTAAGTTTTATTATCATTATTGATGCATCCCTGGAGCTGATTTGAACTGTTTTGGCTACAGCTGGGTGTGGATTTCCTACCAGAATTTTATCAGTTATAATATATATCATAATTGCATTTTCTTGTATTAATCCATTTGAGGTGAATTAACTTAAGATGTGAGATAAATGCAGTGGATTTAAAATAACAATATTATCTAATATGTTATAAAAGTGAAATCTAGCATTAAAAGAAACTACGTCTACCCACCCAATAGCCTACCTACTTAAGTACAGTATTTTTTTTCATGAATTTATGTAACTTTCAACCATTCCATAGAGATGATTGAGTAAACATAAGTGGTTTGTTCTGCTAACATCACTCACTACCACATGGATGCAGTCCACGCAGCGGGCCGCGGTCAGGGCTCGGACCCAGAGAGAGAGCAGCGCGCCGCGGCCCACCGGCAGCAGCGGCTTGGCGGTCCCAGCCAGGTGAGCAAACCTCCCGCTGCTGTCGGCAGCCACGTCCTTCTGGAGCCTGGTTCCGTACCCGGCGGCGAGAATTACAGCTTTCATTTGACCTCTGAACAGGGGAGACTCTCACTATATTAACTTAAGATGTGGTAGGAAGGAAGGAAAGTTAAACGTTAGTACAGGAAAGACCCACGGCCAGTCGGACTCATCTCGCGAGTTCACAGTCCACCAAAAGTCCGTCTCCGCGAGACTCAAGCCTTATAGCGCTTCCGGTTACAACTTTCAAAACAAAAGTGTAGCTGAGTTTACAGTGGCCCTGCAGTGGCCCAATCCCAAATTACCCCCTCGACCCTACCCCTCCGTGACGGAGTGAACTCCGTCTGTAGCCACACTCGCAGCGGAATGAAGTTCCCTCCATTAAGGGTTGGGTATAAATACAGTGGCAAGCTTTGGGGCGGCCTCCCCTCTCTCCGGCAGAAACAGGAAATGCCGTAAATCAGTGGTTCCCAAACTTTTTCAGTCGGGACCCCCTTGGGTATTGGAAATATTTTCGGGACCCCCCCAACCCGGTTCCCATATAGGATTAATTGTATATTGTGGTAAAAACATTACATTTTCTCTGCTAATAATAAGAAGATACAAAGATCCAACTATAATTGTATATGTTATTATTATGGATTACACATGAACAAAAGTGCTTGTAATAGATACTGTGAATTAATTTGGCCTAATTAAAACTGGTTGGCCTTCTTCCCTGAGTAGTAGATTTTTAAATTAAAATGTCTTTAAGGAAACTATATTAATGAACTACTATTTCTACTGCAGGTTGCAAACGATCACATCACTTTACCATTCCTATTCCACACATAGCTTATCAATTACTTGTGTGTGCTTGCTTTCCCTTGCAGATCTTCTCAAACCGGGGCTGGTGTTTTGAGACTGCCCCTCTCAGTTCATTCTCAATGTTCAGCTTTGATCTGTATTTCGTTTTGATGGCAGCAACAGCAGAAAAAGCCGATCTCACACAAGTAGGATGTTGCACAAGGCAGCATTATGCCCACAGCTCTCTGACCAATGAGATATTTTCGAGCAGTGTTTGTTTACAATTGAATAATAATAACAATACATAGGTGCACTTTAAAAACAACGTCATCTCAAGGTGCTTCACAAAACTAAAAGGAGAAAATAATAAAATAAAAAAATCTTCCCACGACCCCCCTGCAGTACCTCTGCGACCCACCAGGGGTCGCGCCCCACAGTTTGAAAACCACTGCCGTAACTCTAACAACGGTTTCAAATCAGCATCTCTTTGACAAAAAATGTAAATGAATAACTCAAATAAAACTCCAAACATCTTTAATTGTGTTTTTTAACAGTCTGTATCAGGGTTTCCCACACATAGACTATACCTGGGCGGGCCGCCCAGGTATATTAACGGCCGCCCAAGTATATTTCGCGACCCATTTAGTTTTTTTTTTTTTTTTTTATGTTTTTTTTTTTTTATTCGTCCGTGACCACGACGCCATCTGCGATCGATTAACTTGTAGACAATGATCCCTCGCTCCCTTGCTCTGATCTCGCCTCCTTCTGGCCTGTTAAGTGGCCTGCCTCACACAGGGTGACTGGCTGTCCACATGATGTGGCCTGCCGACATGGCCACTGTCATACAGATCATAAATCAAAGCCCTTGATTGGTCTCTGTGTGTCATTCAAGCTCGGGATAACCTCAGCTCAGGTGAGGTAAAGGACTCTGAGTGTTTAGATAGTTAACTTAGTCTAAGTTCTCAGTGGGTCTCAAACGGTGTGATCACCATTTATGTAAACACATATTTCCATTTGAGAGGGTAGTGATTGGTCTAATGGAGAGTGAGGTGGGCTGAAGATCGGAAGGCTGTGAGTTCAAATCCCGCCAGGAACACCACCACTAGTGTGCCCTTGAGTAAGGCACTTAGCCCTTAGTTACTCCAGGGAGAATGTCCCTGTAATCGGTCATTATAAGTCGCTTTGGATAAAAGCGTCAGCTAAATGAAATGTAATGTGATTTGTAAAATATGCATGAATAAATAAATAAAAAGTTAACTAGGTGAAAAAAGGTAAGATACACTTTTAAAACTTGTTGTGAGAAAACTAGTCTTTGCTGCTGCCTCAAAGAGGAGGGGGGGAGAGGAGGGAGACAGGAGAGGCTGATTCAGGAGCACAGACACACTCACAACTATAAATGAACCAAAAATAAATTAACAAGTTTCAGTGTTTTTTTCATATTGGAAATGGTATGTTATTGGTTATGGCCTTGATTTTATGATTATTGAAATGTACAGGTCTGTTAAATATAGGTGTTTCCATAGATCTAGTCTCTTTATTTTCCCCTCAAAATGCACCAGATTGATGCATTTAACTCCAAAATAAAAAATAAAATCTTACCGGGGGGGCATGCCCCTGGACCCCCCTAGAGGATTTGAGGTCGACCCCCACTAAAAATCACATGGATAGGTTCCTAAATACATTAATAAATACATTAATTTTTTTAAATAGTAGCCCATTTCCATATGTTCATGTGTGGGTAGTAGATTTAAACTATAGGGCTATCATTATGGACCCTGCCTGTACCTGTTCGCTCTGCCATCGCGTGAAGGGTCTGCTAACAAGCGACCAACAGAAAGGTTAATGTTGTTGCACGTCACCTCAACCCCCCCCCGCTACCACCACCCCCCAAAGTATATTTCAGATCTGTGGGAAACACTGGCAGTTAATGGACCAGCACCAGAGGCATTCCCATACACACAGGCGTTGGAGCTGTTCTTCATGAAATCCCAGAAGGATGAAGTGCTCTGACAAACAGTGCCATCTTTGCGCAAAATGATTATACCGGAATGAAAAGTCAATAAATAATGTTGTTAAAACTTTTTTTTTTTTTTCGCGCACCCCTAATCCCCCCCCCCCCCCCTCCTTGCCACCACCCGCCCAAGTATATTTCATATCTGTGGGAAACACTGAATATACACAACTTTATAATAAAATGCACACATTTACCTTTTTCTAGACTAAACACAGGTACGATCCAGTAGCGTGGCGTGGGGAAAAAAATGAGGGGAAGCCAATAATACGTCCTTTCTTTTGGGTCGGGGGTGTGGTGGTCAATGTAATAACGTAACCAGATGAGTGATTACAGCACCCGGTATCATTTTACACACATTTGTATCAGATGCAGGACTTACACACGCCTGTTATCTAACCGACAGGTCCGCACGCACTCTCCAGCCCAAACTCTAATAAGCATTCATTCACAAACTAAATCAGGAGACCTTTAACGTTTTACGTCCGATTCGCCCCTTTTTTCCTCGCTGTACACAGCTCCAGTTTGGGCATCGGCCTGTCATCAGATTGTATTTGTTGTTGCTGCTGTAGCGGAAGTTTAGTACAATTATTTTTGATGAAATACTCCAAATCTCCACCCTCCATAATTGCACTTGCTTCGGTTGCTTGCTACTTTCTAACGGCGGTGAGAGTGGTGCAGTGGCGCTATCTATCTTCTATCGATTAGATTTATGATTCGAAAATTATAAAAGTAGGGTAGACATGTGGATATTATCCGACTGAACAAAACTTGCATTTATCTAACAGGTTCGTTTTCCACTGACCTTATTTCGAGCTATTTTCCAAAATCCTATGGAGAAATCCCATTGCTTTTTTGTCGAGGGAAACCGAGAGCAGCTTACTTCCGGATTTTAGGACGCGTCACTGCAACACTAAATTGATGCGATTTGATTGGATTGTGAGGCAAGGGAAGCCTTGGCATGGCCCTGACCAATCACAGGTTGGCAGGGGCATCACGTGAGCCTCATCTGATTGGTCAATCCCTCCATTTTTTTTCACCAAGGGAAGCCAGATTCGGCTGGCCTCCTCTCGCAACAGTGAGTGCAATCTACTGTTTCACCATAACATCTAGAGGGGCGCTGTTTTGTTTCACTCTTTGTAAAATACTCAATGAGAATGGGGGAGAGACGGGCCGGCAGCAACACACAGCAAAGGAGAATTATCGAAACAAAACAAAGTGTTTTTATTTATTTATTTAAATTATAACTACAATCCGAAAAAACAGGGGAAGCCTGGCTTCCATTGGCCTCCGGGAGAAAACGCCACTGGTACGATCCTAAGTTAAAAACATATGAGGTTGTTAACATCGCAGTTGATCAGTGGATGTTTGCTGGAAATACTTGTAAACAGCTTGTTTCCTGACGGACACACACAGCGTGGAGACCGGTCAGGTAGAGACGTTCTTATTATACATCCATGGTAGAGACCTATGGTAGAGACCGGTCTCAAGTCAGCACCGATGCAGACTCGCTGTTTGAGGGCTTGATAGCCCACTCCCCCTCCAAACTCGTTGATTTGGAACAGCACTTAATGTGGCGGACCCTCCTCCGCGCGAACGGAGGGGGAGTGTGTAGGGGGTGATTTGGGATTGGGTCAGTGATAGGGTCTACTATGTAAGGAAAATACCACATGGACATTGTGAGCCTTATCAAGAGTTAAGACCAGAGAACTTAAGCTTGGAAAGTAACCAATGTATTGAATACACAACTCTATGCAAGTCGGTCCATTCTGTCGTTTGCAAAGAGGAATGTATGGACGGTGTGTTGAGAGGCCTGGCCCTCCCATTTGACATTCCCGCCCTCCCCCAATAAATACGTTTTAAAAAACGTATTTTTTTATTATAAATAAACTGTGAACTTTAATGATACGATGTATGTGATGTCAGATAGTAATATAAGAGTACTAAATGAAAAACAGTTATGAAATACTATAACGGTAAAACAAGAATAGTTTAAAAGGGGAGTGATTGTAAAATATCCATAAAGAAATAGTAAATCTGTTTACAGTTCTGTTTCTGTAGTAACTCACAAGAGGCTTTTGGTGAGCATAGTGGAGTTTATTGGTTTCTGGTAGCACCAAACTGCGACTCCGGTTCATCACATACTTAGCATAACAACATAGCCCCCAGTTCCTCTTCTATGCTTATGGAACGGCAACAACTTCAATGTCACAGTGCCACCTAGTGGACTGGTGAACTAACATGCAATGATATGACCTTACAACATCCCCTTCCCCTCAAGCAGGTTATATACATCCAACAGGAACATTGTAATACTGTAACATTTTTTTATTTTTTTTATTAAACCTAACAGGTGACTCAGAACAGTATTATCTATTCCCTTCTTAGCTCAGCTGGAAGTCTTTAAGGTAACTGGGTAACTTAGTCTCTCTTTTTGACTGTCTCTTCCCTGGACTTGTATTTTCCACAGTTCCATGGACCCTCGCTGCTGCAGCTTC